TAAATATAATCTTTTGTTATTTCTTTTATATCTTATTTACAGTCAACTATTAATGAAAACAATAATTATTTCAGAATTCATTAAGTGACTTATGATTAATGAATCATTATCAAAAAGCGTAATCTTAATATGTATATCTAGTGATATGTAGAAAATATTCTTTAAATAAATTCAAAATGTATCTTATAATGAATCTGAGTCAAGGTGGCATATGATTATAGTCAGGTAGCAAAATATAAACTTGTCCTAGGCCATGAAATCTTGACAGTTTGCTAATTTGTAAACGGGGATTATTTGTTTGATGATATAATTATTGTATGTCAGGGAATTTCCAAGCAAAAAAACGGAAACTGTTTTGTTAGTAAAATTATGTTAATAAATGTATTTTATTATTGAATTTTTTGTGGGGTTTAATTGATAGAACACAAAAAGCTAATTATGTGCTTGTAGAATGTAGAATGAGTAAGAGGGGGGGGGGTTAATCACTGCGACCTTAAAGATCTATTGTGTGGGCCTCTCTTCCTTGAGTCATCACACAGTCTATAACTCATCATACCCCTGATGTAGAGGGGACAGGGTATTTCCTATCTTCCTCTGACAACAGTTCTTCCTTCGAAGGTACACGGGGATTCCCCATAGCACCTGACCACTAGCTTCCCCACCAACGACAAAGTCTTGCATCTCCTAGGGGAAGTAATTCTGTACTTATGATCACAAACATTTTTGTAGCTTGTTGAAATGAGACAAATTTTTTTGTTTCGTAAAATTTCAGATATCTATTTTTTAGATAATATATTATGTCGTATCTCATTGTTTGGTATTTACATATATTATATTTTTGAGTATGGGACTATCACGATGTTGAAGTATAATTGTTAATATGTACAATTAGATCAACTTTAACAGACAATTGCTAGAAATATATATGATTAATATTAATATATATTTAAATTTGTAGCATTTAGAACTGTATACTTAATTATATCGAAAACATACTTTATTAGTCATTTGCTTTTAAATGATCGAGCGATTATTCATACACGTGTTAATATACAATTAACAAAACATAAACTTATTGGTTAAAATTTTGAATTGTAATTCAAGCTAAATAATCAAAATTTTATTGAAATTAAATACTTTTGACAAGGAAAAATCATAAGTTGAGAATCTAAGGGATATCGGTTTTTGACTGGTGTCGTATAGTACGTGTTCGGTTTTAATTCAAAAATGGATGCAATTTTTCTTAAATTACTCAAAATCGGCTGGTCCAAAATTGTTCAAATTTGGCATGTAAATTTACCATAAGTATACCTTCAAAAAATGTATTTACGACTTTGCTGTAAAATCATTAGGGGAGCCAATATTTGAACAGTTTTTTGAAAATAAAATTTGCATGGGATTTTCTATATTTATAACGACGATGCACCACCTGGTATATCTAAATAAATAAAACAAAGTACGGATTAGTTATTAAATTTATATATAAGTTAAGAACAGCTGCACCAATTTTAATGGTCTCTGATTTGTTGCATTAGTCTCAGCTCCGAATAGTAGAATAACTATTAAAAATTTCCAGAAAAATTCACGGACAAAACCTACTATCTACCTCAGCTTGAAGCAGAGAATACACTTCTTGGCAAATGTTATCATTTGTTCGTATTCGTTCACACTCGTATAGCCATTAGGACCATTGATACCGGCTTGTAGACATTTCTACTTTAGGCTAATCATCATATAAAATGTTCCACAATGTGGGACCCAAAACTGAGCCTTGCGTCACACCACTATTTATGGTTAGCGTTTTTTAATATTTTCAGCTTCCATCTGTATTGACCGATCTGAAACATATGATGATATGATCTTAATCAAGTTCTTCTCGATGCCTCCTCTATCTAGTGCCTCTAGGATTTGTTGCCATGAGGCGCTGTTGAATGCATTTTGCACATCAAGGGTGATTTAGAATTTAGAATGAGTGGGAGGGGGGTTAATCACTGCGACCTTACAGATCCATTGTGTCCCCCTTTGTTGAGTCATAACTCATCATACAGTCCCAGGGCTTTGACAAAAGCCAGTATCTTTTTACGGTTTTATAGAGGGTAGTTTTCCATCTCCAATATCAGTCGTACCAAAATTCATGGCACGAATGGTTGTCGTCTCGGCGCACTCAGTGATGAGGTGTACTGGTGTATCCCCATCTTCCCCACAGAATCTGCATTCGCCGTTTCTTCTTAGTTTCAATCTACTGAGGTGTTCATTGAGGAGACAGTGTCCTGTTAAAAACCCCGTGACAATCCGAAGATTGTTCTTACTTAAACCCAGGAAGATCTGTGATTTTTCTTGATCATAAGTCCTCAGAAACTTCTTCGAGTGTCTTAGACCGTTGCAAGATTTCCATTCCAGGTTGCGGATGGAATCTTCCAAGTTCTTGAGTTCCGCCTTGAGTTGGTTACCACTTGGAAAGCAGAACGGTTCTGGTCCAGTTAGTGGAGTGTTCGCTCCTTTCCTAGCTAGATTATTTGCTTTTTCATTGCCTTTTATCCCTTGGTGAGCAGGGACCCAGAGTAGGAGGACTTTGTTTTCTTTGCCTAATTTATTCAGCTTCTCTATGCATTCTTTGACCAATTTCGAATTGATTGATACTGAGTTGATCGCTTTTAACGCTGCTTGACTATCAGACAAGATGGCTATTTCTTGTTTCCGATAGTTCCTATCTAAGATAAGTTGTACGCATCTTTCGATAGCGTAGATTTCTGCCTGTAGGATACTAGGGTAAGTGCCCATTGGTTCGGAGTATTTAGCTTTCGGCCCAAACACTCCGATCCCTGTTCCCGTATTGGTTTTGGAAGCATCAGTATACCAAGTTATGGTATGGTTTTTTAACTGCTGGGCAAGCGTTTCGCTCTTCCAATCCTTTTTATTGCTCAATACTACATTGAGATGTTTCTCAAAGTTGTACGTTCTTGGCATATCGTCCACTGGGAGTGCAGGAGTGGTATTTCCTTTATGAGGGTGTTCCAAGCCTCTGATCTGACAATTCTCCCAGTACTAATTCCGTTAGTGACCATTCTAATCATTGTCGCATTTTTGTTCTGTTATTACTAGCTTGGCCACTTCCCAATCTTCCCTGCAAGGATTGTGGGGTTCAGTGGGAGCTACATGAGTATCAATAGGTATGCTACCTGGAAGTGTGTATAAAGTAGGAGATTTGCTCTCTCTTCCTCTCCCTCCGTGTAGCTTCCGTCAGATTTCTTAAGTGCCATGTTGGGGATAGATCCACTCTTGGCCATAGCTTTGTGTAATCTAGCTGCATCAGGAGTAGAAGTGATGTTTTCGCAAAAGGATCTAAAGTCAGACCGCTTTGCCCTTCTTACCTCCTTCTTATACTCAGTTAATTTCTCGCTGTAGAGCTGCCATTCGCCACTGGATTTAGCTCTATTAAAGAGTCGTCGGACCTCCGATCTAAGTTTGGCCAACTTCTTGTTCCACCAGGGCTTGTTGTTACTTTTCTGTATGCCTTTACTTGCGGGGCAACTAGATTCATATGCATCCAATATTGCAACGCTGACTTCCCTTGCGTACCATTCTAGATGCAGACGGTTTCTGGCCATCAAGGGTGATAATTGCACAGATTCTTCGGTTCTGAGGAGCAAGTTTGCAGCATCATCCGCAATTTTGAGTACTTCTTTATATTATCGACCCTTTGTCGGTCCTATTGTCGACCCTTTCTGTTTTTGACCCGGTTTTCGGAGAGACTTTTATCGGGCTGCGAGAGTTCTTCTTTTACCTTTCCCAATATCAGATGTTCGTAGAGCTTTCCCTCTACATCCAGTCAGCTAATGGGTAAGCTCGTCTTGCATTCGCTACGAATGCACGTCTCCATGGGAAAAGACTTCCCCCTGAATGCATACGAATGTGAACGAATAATATTGGCCAGACCAGGTATATTCTCTGCTTAATATACACCGTTTAATTAATTTTAGTTGTTAGTGATTACATACGACCTTGGTTTTGTGCCATACCTATAAATAAACTAAATGCGATAATGAATGGGTTGAATATAAAAAACACAAATTACAGTCTAAATATTTTTCTCTAAAAATTCATACACCTTTGAATGAAAGATTCACTAGAATAGACAAGTTTAAAAAAAGTAAGCTGATATTGAAAGACTGAATTCAGTCGACCTGGTATTTTTTTAATTAATTTGATAATTCGTATTAGCACAGTATTAGCTTTTTGAGAAAAATGCATTCTTATTAAAACTTTTTGCTTGTTCTAAAATGGTTTCTATTTATACTTTTCCAAATTGCCATACCGTTTGGAGAAAAAATATGAAAATATAGTTGAATTTTTTTCATGCGTTTTGGTTTTTGGGACTTTGGGACTAAAACGATATGGAAATTTGGAAAACTATAAACTAGATTAACCATTTTAGAACAAGCAAAACTATTATGAAGAATGCATTTTTCTGAAAAAGATATTAAAATAGCTTTTTTCTTGTAAAGACAATCCGGAGATATACTGTATACAGGCTGAGTCTTAAATAAGTGCAAATTTAAAAAAAAGTTAATGTTTTAAAAATGTATAAAAAATTTTTTTAGGGCTGTATATTTCGATCCCAAAAATACATTTCTAGGGTTTCTTTTGCGAAAAAAAAAATGGCAAATTTAAATTTTTTTATTTTTTTTAAATTTTAGTGAAAAAACTTCATAAAAATATCTTCATAAGATGGCAGACAGAAGTTGTAGATTTAAATTTAGAAGAACAAAAAATTAGTGGTTCTCAAAAGCAAAAAATAATTTCTTTAATTTTCTAATAACTGGGTTATTTTGGACTTATTTCAAAAACAGTAAAGATAAAATATGTTTCTTTTATCGAGATCTACCAGCCCTAACAATATTTGCACTTATTTAGGACTCACCCTGTATAATATATACAGTTGATTTGAGAAGAACTGATAGGTATAGGTATACTTTAGGGATATAACTAAACACTTTATGTATATAAAATATAAATTTTTAATTTTATTTACGTAAATTTATTATCACAAAATAAATATCATCTAAATTTTTCTAGCTGGATAAAAATTGTTGGAACTCAGCCTGATGCTGTCCACTAGGATCGAATTTTCTAGCTATCCTCTGCCATTGTTGTGGTTTGTTTTTGATAAGAAAGCTGGATCCTTTCTTCACTATCCTCTTTTGAGCGTCTGTGCATTTAACGCAGTTTGTGGATATGGCATCAGGGATGTGCTCTATAAAATTAAAAATTATATTATTATAAATAACACCTTCAAAGATATAGAATATAAATATACCGGGTGCGTTTCAAAAGTGGTTCATCGCTATTACTTTATATTGTTTTCAGAAAAAAAAACGAGATCTGGTACGATAGTATATGACATAAATTAGGATTGATTGACGTATTCAATTGAAGAGCACACGGGAAAAAACCATGAGTGTCCAAACACAATAAATGTTCAAGAGAGCGTTTTTAATTGAAATTACGCAAATCGCTGTTTCCTTTTTAAATGCCTGTTTCTGTGTGACCTTTATCGATATTCCCGTTAATTTAGGTACCAAAAGGTGTAGCTTTTCAAAACGACAAATAATATGCATTAAAATCAAATTAGCAAAAAATGAATTTTCATCGTTTTTCTCGAGTGCTCTTCAATTATTGTTTTCTGCCACTTCCTGTTTCACCGGAAATGACTACAACTTTTGATTTTTAAATGGGACCTATGGTATTGTTTTCCATTATTCGACAGAATATGATACTCTGAACAAAATGAAATATCATATATCATCTTTTGACATTTTCGCTTTAAAAAAATCGTATTTTAACTTTTAATCTAGAGTGCCATGGCTGTGTTAAAACATTATTTTTTAATCAAGGAGCATAGCAAAAAAGTAAAAAAATACCGAGTGTGCTACTTAAAAATCAAAACGTAGTCATTTCGGATGAAACAGGAGTGACCGAAAAGAATTGTCAAAATAAGTCAATAAATCCTAATTTATGTCATATACTAAACATACCGAATTTCGATTTTTTATCTGATAAAATAAAAAAGTTATAGAGGTGAGCCACTTTTGAGAGGCACACGGTATGTATTTCGGTCATACGGTTTTGGTATGTTAGTATATGATATAAACTAGGATTGATTGAGGTATTCAATTATTTTCGGAAACTTCCTGTTTCACCGGAAATGAGTACAACTTTTGATTTTTAAATGGCACACTTGGTATTTTTTTACTTTACTCGATAGAAAATAACATTCTTAATAGAATGACATATCATATGTCAACTTTTTACATTTTCGCACATGGTTTATTTGACATTATAAGTTGCGGTTCAAAAATTTTACTCGAAATACTAAGTGTGTGGTATCAAATTATTCGTAAAAACATGTTTTTTCCGAATATGCTAATAATCCACCCTCGTTCCATTTGAAAAAAATGAGATATGATTAAAAATACGATTTGAGCATTTTCCAACTGGCCAGGACAAGACACTAAAAACATTAGACGATCAAATCTATTTTTCCAGGATAAGAATTTTATTTTGATTGAGAATTAATGTTTTTAACATAGCCGTGGCACTCTAGATTGATTTTTAAAATACGATTTTTTATTAATTGGGGTGAGCCACTTTTGAGACGCACCCGGTATATTCATATATATGACCGACATGTTTGACAGTTTTGTTTGACGTTTCAGTTGATACATTTATATTTGATTTTAAATTTTGCGGATTTGTTGGGCTTTTATAAGCTTATTTTATTTAATTTAATTTACAATTGGTTTTGTTCAGATCTAGTTAATATAGATCAGAAGATCCTATTTTTTTTTTCTCGTAGACCTCTTAAATTTTTACTGGTTTCGGTGAACATCCTGCTTTTACACTTCTACCATTTGCTATAATTCAGTAATTTTTCGAAAAAAAAAACACAATATAGCTGGAAAGCTCAAAAATTGTAAGTGGAAACTATGGTTTCCACTTAAAAAAACAAATGTTTTTGTCATATGTCGAAAATGACAGGATATAGAAAAAAAAAACAGAGACACAGTCTCATTAAATATTTAATTATCTACAACTTTTATTGGAAATAATTTTGTCTAAAATAGATTATAATGGAATTAGGGAGTATTTAAAAAAAAACGAAATATGTTTTTTTCGAAATATCTAGTAAGCCGTAAACTGTTTCAAAAATTTGAACCTATTGAACGAATTGACTTCACAAATCTGCAATTTTTTCTCCATTTGATCGACTCTCAAAGATACCCATAAACATCCTAGAAAACTCACCCTGTATAATGAGAGTGATTTTTATTATTAAATTTATTTATTATTTCAAAGCCAACACTTACGGAGTTTATATTCGATTGTATGGTATATTTGTTAAATAAAAGTAAACAATTGTATTAAAACTAAAAAAATATGTGAGGTAGTTATAAATACTATAACTAATTTATTAGCCATAAGAAGTGTGTCAGAAGTGACATTTTGTTCAATCACGTTAATTTTCTAATTTCTTTTAATTGGTGTAAACATATTAATTATTCTCCGAGACTAGAGACACTGAACTGTAACAAGGCATTGAATTCAACCTTCCCCATTTTGGTCAATGCTATCCGGTCTTGAGTTTATTTTTTAATGAATACGTTCAACCGCTTATTTTATGTCTTCTTTGTCATCATATAAAAAAGGAGATTAGAACCAAACTCAAATTACTATGTTTTATGGAAAAATTACAAGGTCTTCTGTTCGACACAACAATGGAATTATTGCGATATGTTTTGCTTGTAGGTTGAATAAAAACGTCAATTTTATAACTTAATAAATCTTACAAATTTACATCGTTTTTTTAAGTTGTTACGTCCATACTAATATTTTTTACAGGATGACGTAAAAATAAGATTTATTTTTTATATCAACTTAGGGTCGGATTCTGTTTTGTTTCGTAGCTACCGGGGCGGGGGCTAAAGTCTTCATTTTATTTCCTTTTTCTTATTAGGCGAATCGCCTGTTTGGTTTCGTCATCTCTAACGGTTAGACTGACAAGTTCGTCTCTCCATCGTTTTCGTGGACGTCCTAAGCTTCTGTACAAATAAACACGAATTTATTAACAAAACCGTAGTTAACCTTTCTAAAAGAGTTTTATCTAATTCTGAAAAATCAGTTTTATCAAAAGGTTTAAATTTTAGCGTAACTGATAAAAACGTTTCAAAATTAGATTTGGCTTCTGCTATTGAAAATATAGCACAAAAATTACCTTTAAAACACGCGGATGAATATCGTGTTAGGTCAAAAATTATTCTAGAAAGACCTATTAAATTTAAACCTAATATTAATAGAGATGAAAGGTTAGCTATTAAAAATTTAAAAACAGACAAAACAATTAAAATATTACAAGCAGATAAAGGTAATGCTACAGTAGTTATAGATTTAGACGAATATAATAACAAACTTACAGATCTTATAAATAACGGTAGTTACACAAAACTTTCAAAAGACCCAACACCAACTATTGAAAGAAAAATATACAGAACTTTATATAAATACAAACATATATTAACAGACTTACAACGAACATTATTAACACCCCATTACAGTAAACCACCTCATTTATACGGATTACCGAAAATACACAAAGGGGGTATACCTTTAAGACTTATAGTCAGTAGTATAAATTCTCCATGCCATCCATTAGCAAAATTTTTACTAGACATATCAAATCCGATTGCAAATAACACCGATTCATACATTAAAAACACACCACACTTTATAGAAAAAATTTCAAAAATTAATATAACGCCTAACAGTTTAATGGTTAGTTTTGACGTTGTTAGTCTTTTCACTAATGTACCGGTAGATAAATCACTTAAAATAGTTAGGGATAGGTTAGAATAAGATCAAAATTTAATAAATAGAACAAAATTAAACATAGATAGTATTTTGGAATTGTTGACACTTTATGTTAAAATTACTTATTTTCATTTAAATAACGAATTTTTTCAACAAGATTTTGGTATAGCAATGGGATCACATTCTCTCTTTTGCTAAGTAATATTTTTATTGGAAGATTTTGAAAATAATACAATAAATAGTTTTTCAAAAAAGCCTGTAATATGGCTTCGTTATGTTGATGATATTTTTGCAATATGGCAACATAAAGTTTCTGAAATAGACATTTTTTGGAATATATAAATTCTCGCGAACCTACCATAAAATTTACTTTAGAAGTAGAGAGAGGTAATCGTTTGCCATTTCTTGATGTTTTAGTGTCAAAATTTCAAAATAAACTAATTTTAGATGTTTACAGAAAACCCACAAACACAGATAGATACTTAAATTTCACATCTAATCACAGTATAAGTGTAAAAAAAGGTGTTATAAAAAGTTTATATGATAGGGCAAAAATAATATGTACAGATGACATTTCACTAAACAAAGATATAAACGACTATCCACCATATTTTATTGACAAAACATTAAACGAAATACAAACCCCAAATCGTAGACACAAAGATAACAATACACAATATATACAACTTACAATTCCATACATACGAGGCGTTTCGGAAAAAATAAGAAGGATAGGAAAACAATATAACATACAAACATCTTTCAAAACACAAAATACACTTAGATCAATTTTATCACATACTAAACCAATGAATACAGAACAACAAACAAAAAATGTAATATACCAAATACCCTGTGAATGCGATAAATTTTACATTGGTGAAACATCTAGACCCTTAAATGTTAGAATTAAAGAACATAAAGATTATTTAAGAAAGGGAGATTCTCACAAATCTAAGATTTGTCAGCATTCATGGGACACAGGGCACAGAATAAATTTTAATAACGCCAAAATTATAATGAAAGAAGCGATAGCCTCTAAAAAAAATAAAAGAGGCTTTTTTAATTCAATCTAATAAAAATAAATGTATTGCTCATGCATCTGTAGATGTTAGTAATGTATGGCAATCGCTTCTTTGATTTTAAAGAACATTACATAAATAAACATAACATACATAAAATTTAAAAATAAACATACAGAAAATTTGGGCTTTTTGGTTTTACCTTATTAAGTAATTATCAGGTAGTAATTGTTAATTTTGAAGTTTAACGTAATATAATGTCATTTTAACAGAACGTCAACGATTTCTTGTAGACGTATCTGTTTTAAAAAGTAAAGTGTTCTCGAATAGTTCAATTTAAATATTTTAAATAGTTTTTTTCTTCATTCTTTATATTTTTTTGCTTCCGACGACGGAAAGAGAAAACTTTCCGAAACTTTAAGCATTATTTTCTTTGTTAGGCAAATTTTTATTACTGTAAACACAACTTCTGACAAGCAGCGTCCGTTTAGGTTTAACGCAGAAGTGTTTACAAAAAATAACTGTTTTATTTTGTAGATTTTTCTTGCAGTGCAGTGGCGAAAAACCCATAAGGATTTTTTTGGATAAAGAAAATGTGTGCAATTTTGGTAAAACGGACAAGTAAATGTTTAACTCGAACCTTTGAAAGGAACTCGCAACGCCATTCCGAAACTGGTCCTACAGGTCAAAATTGAAGGTCGTAGAGGGCCAGGAAGAAAACAGCACTCATGACTCTGGAACATCAGAGATTGGAGCGGGATACCGGACGCGGTAACCATATTCCGTCGGGCAGAAGAAAATACACTTACAATTAATTGAAGAGAATGTGCAAATGATCTCCAACGTGCAAGATTGCATAGGGGACCGGATCAAGAAGAAGAATATTGTAACCAAATCTACTCGGCGAAAATTTAACCGAAGCTGAAAATTTAATTGCAACACAGTTGATTATGAAACTGCAAGTCATCATCCAAAGTATTTTTCACAAGTAGATCTGATTTTGGAGGTACTGACTGGCACAATACAAAATTAGAGGTAATATTTTTGCTAAAGAATTCGTCCTTTCCAGCAAAAATTGGATCTGTCTGGTGGGCAGAAATCTGCTCCAGCTCTAAAATAAGTATGTTGGCTATAGACAATTTAAATTTACCACATCGTCAAGAATCAAAACCGAAAAAATCTTTAGTACCTAGATACTTATGGATTTGTCCATCGGCCATGATGAGACATACTTACCATAGAAAGGGACGGAAAACTTACTTATATTGCCCATAATTATAATTTACTAAATTTAGAAGAACATCCAGGAATGGTAGAGGTTGCTGAGAAAGAAATGGAAAAAGAAGATTTTGATTTCGAAGTAATAGACTTGACTCAACTAACGAAAGAGAAAGAAGATCCGTATGATAAGACTGAGGATGATTTATCATTATTCACTCTACTACGTACTATAACATAGACCACTTTTTTAGCATTAAAATATGTAGCACTTATAGTAACTTTTACCCTCAAAATTTCATTCGAATCACTAAAAGTACTTGGAAGAAAATTATAATGAATCGAAAAATTATTAAGACTTTAACACCCTGTAGCTAAGAAACAAAGCAGAATCGGATCTATGTTGATATGAAAAATAAATCTTTTTACGTAAGGATTCTCCCCATGAGAGAAAGTACATATTTTTTGCATGACCCTGAATAAGGTCGCGGTGATTCATCCCATACAATCTACATCTACCCCCATTTTGTTGACTATTTACGTCATTTGTCTGAGATTTTAATAAAGAAATTGTCTATAAAACAAAAACAGCAGTTTTCTGGATAGTATCAAAATAGTATATAAAATTTTGAATATACAAAAATATAAAATTTACTCTATAAAATGTATTTTTTTGTTATAAAAGATTATTACTTACTTTTTAACAGCCGTCCTTCTTCTGTACATGGTCCTTCGTCCAAAATACATTTGATGTAATTAGACAAGATGCGATCGTTTGATAGAATATTATCAATATTTATATTATCGTACTTCGTGGTATATTGCTGACCTAGACAAACCCCCAAAACCAAACTGACCACTACAAATACTACACTATTCATGTTTATGTGGTATATGTAATTCGGACTTGAAAACGAACAGTCTAGTGTCTGAAACTTAATTGGTTGAGCTTTATTTATATATAATGTTTTTTTCAGGTAGTCGTAGAAGAGATGGAAAACTTTCTTGTTTTTGTATATTAACTAAGGACAGCATGATTTTTTATTCGTTGTTTATTTAAAAGCAATCAGAAGCGCCGGTAAGTGCTTCTAAAACATATAAAGCGCTTAATTATGCTTAATTAACATATTAGCGGTGCAATGCTAAACGCCAAAGAACTGAAATACTTAGGAAGGTTAAGTAGTTTAAAATTTTATAACAAATTAGTGTTGTCGATGTCCTTGTTATTATTATCATGTTCCCAGAATTAGATTACTAGATCATATTAAATTTAACTAGAAAAATATTTTTCTTACAGTACCACCTAATAAATAAAATAGTATAATAATCTAAGATAGATATATGGATTGTATGAGCATGGTTTACATATCTCTTATAGTTCTCTTCTTATGTCTATATGACATTCTCCAGTATCTCCAGTATCCTTTCTGTAGATTAAAACAAGCAGATTTTTTAGAGAAAAAAAACATAATATAAATCCTTTTAAATGCGCAAGATCTACAGGGCGGTCCGAACTGTATTCCGGAAACTTCGCCAGCATATTGTGCAGATAGAAACTAGTAAAAAAAAATCTTATAAATGTATGTCCTCAAATGCTTAGTTTCGGAGATACAGGGTGTAGAAATTTCATTTTTATTTTGATTTTTTCCAAATAATTTCTGAAGTAACGTCAATATTTAGATAAAAATTGGTGTCTCGAAGTTTTTTGACATGAGAAATTTGATTTTGATATCAATATGACTCCTACTTGTAGAGGGCGCCACTTACATATTTTTTAACTGGTTTGAAGAGTAATAACTTTTCGTCCGTACCTGTAAAACTAATGAGTAAAAAAATATACATTTTCGACGTTTTTTTACGTAAAAAATGTCTCTTGGTAAAAATCGCTATGAGTAATGGTTCTCGAGATATTTGGAATCGAAATTATCAATGCCTGTCATCATTGATATAAATTAAACGTGTTGACTAAATAGTTATTAGACTAAAATAATAAATTTAAAATGTTTTTGTACCAAAAATTCAACAGAAACTGTTTTATCATCATTTTTACGCAGAAAAATTTATGATTAATTAAAAAAAATACAAATTTCTCAAATTTATTATTTCAGTAAAAAAATATCTACTGAACGGGTTTATTTTTTGTCAATAATGACATTTATTAATTATTTCCCTTCTAAATATCTTGAGAACGGTTGCTCGTAGCGATTTTACCAAGAGACCTTTTTTACGTAAAAAACGTCGTTAATGTATATTTTTTTACTCAGTAGTTTTATACAGGTACGGACGAAAAGAAAGAAAAGTCTTCAAAACAGTTAAAACACAAGTAGGTGGCGCCCCCTACAAATAGGAGTCATATTGACATCAAAATCAAATTTCTCATGCCAAATTTCTTCCAGACACAAATTTTCATCCAAATATTGACGTTACTTCATAAATTATTTGGAAAAAATCGAAATAAAAATGAAACTTCTACACCCTGTATCTCCAAAATTAAGCATTTTAGGACATACATTTATATAAACTTTTTTACTTATTGTTATCTGCAGAATATGCTGCTGAAGTTTCTGGAATACAGTTCGGACCATCCTGTATAGTCCTTTTGCCAATATTTGCCAGCTTGTACCTAGTATAAAGAGCCGTCTACATGCCAGACTATGTCACTGCCATAGAATGTGTCCTGTTGTTTTTTTATTAACAGAATCCGTAAGCATGATTTCAAATTGCACTAGACTTGTTATACAGCATCGATTTATCGTGTCTATTATGGTCTGCTAATATAACAGGTGTAGTGATGGGTAGTGACGTTTCTACATACATGGAAGCTCAAGATCAACGTAAATAAAACAGAATCTACTACCTTTTATCTAAGCAATAAATATGCGAATTACAGGTCGCAGATTGAATTTAGAAATCAAGTACTGCAATACAACCATCTCTCAAAATATCTTTTTCGTCGTGACACTGGATCGCTCCCTAACATATAAATAACATCCCTTAGCATCTAACTAAAATGGACTCTAAGTTGACAACTAGAAACAACGTGGTTTACAAAATATCTGGAACAAGTTGAGGAGTAAACACATACCACTCCTGAAAACTATATACTCGGTTGTAGAGTACTGCTGTGGGTCAATATTGCTCATACAAATACCTATTATTGATACCCATCTGAACGAAGCTATGAGGACTCTATCAGTCACAGTGATGTCCACGTCGACACAATAGTTATAAAGCAAAGGCTAAAATCTAGAGAACCATCTTGGACACTGAGCGAAAGCATAAAAATTTTCTGCCTCAAACAACCTGGCAGAACGAATGGTATACATCAAATTCTAACTCGGCAAACTTAATTAGAACTTAATACTAGTTAGAGCTCAAAGGCACCGACGACCGGTCGCAAAGACCTGCATTTGATTCAATGTTATTAGGAAACTCAGCTGCGACCAGTAATAACATTCAATCAAATGCTGGTCGCTGCGACCTGGTCGTCAGTGCGTTTGAGCCCTTAATCAGAAGACAATCCTTAGACGACCCTCAACCGCATACGGACTGGTCACGGAAGATGCCAGTATATAAAGCATAAGTGGGGACTTTCAGAGGATACTAGCTGTCATTGCGGACACGAACGACAAACAATATCTCATATTGTCTCAGAATGTCCCTTGCGAAGATTTACGGGAACAAAGTCTGACATACGCAGTGGTGGACAAAGGGGGGGGGGCGGAAGGGGCGGTCCGCCCCGGGCCTCTTCTTCTAGGGGGCCTCCAAATCTTAATAAGTAATTTTTTATTCAAGTGGCAAACAGGCCAATATGTGTTCAGTAGTTATAAAGCAATTTGTAGTTAGAGTATGCAAATCATAAGTATACGCAAACTAAACACAGTATATGTAAATGGAAGCAGATATTTACTTAATTATCAATTATTAGGCACCAGTAATTGTCAATAGCATTTTTCTATTTACGAAATTAAATCAAGGGGTAATTTTCTTTGTTTAGAATATCGAAAATGTACCTAATTATTATTTTTTATATTCGAATAATTATTATTTATTCTTGGACATATATAGGAGTATACCGCGATTTTGTAAGGGACCCCTTACAAAATCGCGGTATTTACCTGGAACGGTCGCGAAAGTAACGCTGTTTATATGTGGAACCGGTATTCCCTTAGGGTATTCCCATCACTTTGTCATCATAAATTGCCATTAAATATATGTAAACATTCGCTTGGGGATTGTTTTATTTCGTCAAATTGCATTCGTTTTTCAATTTAAATGTATTATTATAAGCTTTAAAAAAATTATGTTATCGTTTTTGATACCTTTTTGAAGCTGGGGCCCTCGAGGGGGCCCTTAATTCTTAGGTCGGGGCCCGTCGCGCGTCGGGTCCCTACGTAAAAACGGCACTGCCGATGAATAACATATTTATATCTACAGTATGTCCGCGGATTGTCTTCATAAAAATTTTTGCTTGTTCTAAAATGGTAATTCTTGTTTATACTTTTCCAAATTTCCATACCGTTTTAGAGAAAAATAAAAAAAACATGAAAATTTAGTTGAATTTTTGAACTAGTAAAAATAAAACGCCTTTCTATGGTAATATAATTTCGTGATAATTTTTTGATAGATTATTATTGACAGAATTTTAATTAAAGTTATATTTTTTGCTGTTTCAAAATGCTAAAGAAGCACAAATTTTATTTAGTTCAATGCTACGGAAAGGGTGATAATAGTTATCGGAAAATGTGATATTTTTACATCAAAAAATATGACGTTAATCAAAATGAATTATAACGATCTATCAAAAAATGAAATCGAAATTATATTACCATAGCGTTTTAATTTTTAATGTTTAGGACTTTTAGTTTTTTTAGGATTTTTTTGGGGGAAAAATTCCATTAAAAAACTACATTTTTATGTTTTTTTATTTTTTCTAAAATGGTATGGATATTTAGAAAATTATAAACGCCATTTTACAACAACCAAAAATTCTTATGAAGAACGCATTTTTTTCAAAAAGTCAATAATTAAAAAGTTTTTCCTCTTGTAAAGACAATCCGGGGACATACTGACTGTAATATACAGGGTGTCCCAGAAATAAGTACAAGTATTTTATGGTAGTATAGTTCAACCCCAGAAACACGCCTATCAGGTTTTTTTTCGCGAAAAAACAATTGAAAACTTCGGGAATTTTTTTAGTTTTTAGTTAAAAAACATAATTTCTTGTTAATATGACAACATAGGTATAAGATTAAGTTTACAAGAACAAATTTACAAGAGCAAAATTTTACTTTGTATATTTTCAAAGTAAAATAACTCCGATATTTTGGACTTATTTGAAAAACGATAAAGAAAAAATATGGTTCTTTTATTATACCACCCCTTAAAATACATGCACTTATTTCTGTAACACCCTGTATATATATCGATTTTTACAATATATAAATACTTGAAATTTGTCAACCATTATTCATACGTCATTCAATCTTTACAAAATGTGCAGACCGGGGGCCACATTTAGCTTTGCCGCCCCGGGCCCCCGACAGGCTTAGTCCGCCACTGGAAGCTTCCAAAGCAATAGACTGATGATTTTACTTTAACATTGTATTGTTCTATCTATTTGGACTTGAGGTTTGACAATACTTGTTTATCGTGCATTTCACATTCATACTTGTTTATCGAGTTTTCTATTATAAACTGTTTTTCCGCCCGTTCGTATAAACGAAGCAGTGATGCACCAATATTACCATACGCTCCAAGTAAAATTTATACTGAAGTTAAAAATGGTAATTGCAGAATCTACTTTAACTACGCTTTTTCAACCATGAATAGAAATCAATATAGCAAACCCCATATATTCTTCTATTAGATCAACAAAAACTCACTAGGTTTGGTTGCCCAGGTATATATCAATATAGTTAAGAAGTGGAGATGTGCAAACACACGGTAT